CTTGACAAAACTGATATTTTTCAAGACTCCTGATCTCTGGTTCAAACGCTTGTACATACTGGTCGGCCAGTCGAGCGTATTCCGGCTCATCTCTTTGGTCAAGTGTGGCCTCGATTCTGATGATGGGCGGCTCAATTCCACTTAATGGTGAGTGAATACCATTTGGCTGATGTTGCTTTAACATTTTATTGAGTTCATCCTCCATTGGATCCTCTTGGGGCAATTGTATAGATTTGGGCTGCTCCAGAGAGGAGCCGGGCTGTGTTGGTTTGCTATTTGGTCTTGGTGCCGGAATATTGGTCTCTATTGGCGGGGCAATAGTTGGGCCCACAGTGTTGAGTTCTTTCCATATTAAGTCCCAATCTAGCTCTGTGAGGGAAGGTGTCATGAGAGTTGAGCCATTCCCTGTGGTCTCAGATCCAGAGTAGTTGGTTTGTACTAGTTGATCCTCATCAGACTGCAAAAAGCTCTCCAGATCTTCATTTGTCGCCCAGTTCCTAACTTCCAGTCGGGCTCTCTTTGAATCCCCGCCCAAGCCACTTTTACGGCAACCGTGGTTATTGGAGGTACTTCCAGAAGTTTGATCAAGCTGGTGCCCCTCCATGCAGATCTGTCCAGTGTTCCTTCTTGTGGAGGGAACTTCCAAAATAGCACCAGAGGTTCTGGGATGATGAAATTCAGGATGAGCTCCTACTGCCCATATTCTACCTTCATTTTCCGGGATTGGTCGGTAGTAGTTCTTGCTACCACTGCTGCTGCCTAATCCTGAAAGCCGTACCCGCGTCGATCTTATTGGGTGGAATGCCGCTTGAGTTAATTGGTGCATGAAAGCAATCCCACAGAGCCACAGAGGTCGACAGAGTAATTCCAGTCCTCTCATTTTAAGTCCCTAGTTGATATATTTATTAGTATGTGTATGCCCGAACAGATTCCTTTTTTAGTTAATCACTCAGAGACAATTAGATAACAATAAGTTTCTAGTTCAGATTTTTTGATGAGTGCTTATTTGGAAAGTATTGAGTGCTAGTACTAGCTTAGAATAAATTTGGCCCTGCAGAGACCTAAGATGTGATTGACAAGCCTGAGGCTGAACTTGTGCCAGTAGATGTCAGTTAAAAAATGGAGGCAGACTTCCATAAATGAATCATGACCTTTCCTACTCTCAGGAGTTGTTGATAAATTTCATTTTGCTTTAGAGGTCATACCAATGATCCATACAATTTGTTCTCCTGATGATGAGTGTGTTAGTGAAAGATAGGAGCCAGGGACTTCTTGGGTCTCGGAATGTGTAAGACACAGCAAGAAAATAAAACAAACTCCTTGGTTTCATTTCTCAAATAAAGCCACAATGATAGCTGCAATTTGGTAAAATTATAGCTGCAAGTTGTTTATGCACCCCTCATAGAAACAGGTTTAGAGCTTCCTTGGTGGAACCTTTTTTTCCACAACTTTTACACTGTACCTTGGGGCATGAAAATTCAAATTTTAAGCATTTATCTTCCTCAATTTTCATATCACTAAAAGGCATTTGTTACCCTAAATTTGAAGAGGTCTACAACTGATTCAACAGCATTTCAACTCCCACACATCTCAGCTAACATTATACACTTTGAATTCACCATAATATGCAAAGCAAAATCCCAATTCAACATTTGACTCAACTCCAATCTCAGGTTTTGTTCCCAAATAGGTTGAATCATTTCCAAAAACATTGTTGGTCGCTGGAAATCAGGTATCTTTCCTATTCCTGGTTTTTCATACATCCTTTCTTCTGGGGAAATTAATTGTCATTCTCAAAACCTTTTAATTCATCTCAAATAAAGTGACAATAAATTTAATTTCTCTCAATATCATTTGTTCAATGAGATGTGTATTTGTGATGGCTGGGCTGAATTCATCAGCTCAGGACTCCAGGAGGTGTTAGTCATACTTATCCAGGTTGTACCTGGTTAATGGGGCAATTCAGGACTTCTTCCTATGGGACTGAACCATCAGGTGTGAAAGTTCAATGATGTGCCTGTGCCACAAATTTCCTAGTACTGCAAGAAAGTAAGTAGCAATTGCTAGCAGTTGTGGATATGATGAAGTAAGTTGGATTTGGACTGTGAGCATAAGAGAACTTGAACCAATTTGATTTTTCAATAATTCAGTTCTCCTCAAAGCAAGGAGGAGAATTTAAACCAATTTGATTTCTCCTCCTTGCTTTGAGGAGAGCTTAAATAATCAAAGTTATCCTGCTTGCTTTGAGGGGAACTTGAAACAATTTAAGTTCTGCTCCTTGCTTTGAGGAGAACTTGGACCAATTTGAGTTCTCCTCCTTGTTTTGAGGAGAACTGAAACCAATTCAAGTTCTCCTCAAAGCAAGGAGGAGAACTTGAACCAATTTAAGTTCTCCTCCTGTCTTTGAGGAGAACTGAAACCAATTTAAGTTCTCCTCCTTGCTACAAGGATAACTTGAACTGATTCAAGTTTTCTTCCTTGTCTTGAGACAAACTTGAATCAATTGAAGTTCTCCTGCTTGCTTGGAGGAAAACTTAGACCAATCCCTTGCTGTGAGGAGGACTTGAAACAAATTTAAGTTCTCTGCCTCACTTTGAGGACAAATGAAACCAATTTAAGTTCTCCCCCTTGCTTTGAGGAGAACTGAAACCAGTTTAATAAATTTATCCTCCTTGTTTTGAGGAGAACTTTTGGTGAAACTCTATAAAATATTATGTTTCTGATGGGAGTTGAACCTGTGCATAATCAATTCAAGTGTACCAGCCACTTGACTAAGGACACTTGGATACACTATGGTCAATTGGATGTTTCTCCCGCTTGATTTGTCACCTCCTCAAAGACTGTAGCCACCCGTAGCAGATGAAAAACCAGGCCACAGCAACAAGCAACTGACCGTGGTGATATGAATTACTGCAGTTTGGTCAATATAATCTACTGATTTCACTACAAAAACTGTAATTGAGGGTTAGACCTGTAAATGACAGGTCATATATATTAGTATGACACCAGTAGTTATGATAAAGCCATGAGAAGCAGAACCACAACATGAGACTTCACCAATTGAAGTTCTCCTCCTTGCTTTGAAGAGAACTTGGACCAATTGAAGTTATCCTCCATGCTTTGAAGAGAAATCAAATCAATTTTGGTTCTCCTCAAAGCAAGGAGGACAAATCAACCGATTTAATTTTTCCCCCTTGCTTTGAAGAGAAATTAAACCTATTTAAGTTCTCCTCAAAGCAAGCAAAACAGTAGAACCAATTTGGGTTCTCCTACTGTCTTTGAGGAGAAATTAAATCAATTGAAGTTATCCTAGTTGCTTTCAGGAGAAATTAGATAGAAACATTTTTAGAGCTCCTGTGGTGGAACATTTCCTTCCACAACTTTCACACTTCACCTGGGGGCATGAAACTTGAAATTTTCATAATCGATCTTCCTCAGTTGTTCATATCACAAAAAGGCAGTTGGTACCCAAAAGTTGAAGAACTCTACAACTGCTTTGACAGCATTTCACCTCTCACCTATCTCAGCTAACCTTATACACTTTGAATTCTACCATAATATGCAAAGAAAAATCCTAAGTAAACATTTGATTTTATTCCAATCTCATATTTTGTTCCCACATAGGTTGAATCCTTTCCAAAAACATTTTTGGTTGCTTTCAATCAGGAATTTTTCCTCTTATTGGCTGGTCATGCATCTTTTCTTCTGGGGAAACTCATTTTCATTCTCAAAGCCTTTTAATGCCATACAAAGTGACAACAAATTTAATTTCTCTCAATATCATTTGTTTACTGACATATTTGTTCCTGGTGGCTGGGCTGGATTCATCAGCTCATGACTCCAGGAAGCTTTAGTCATACTTATCCAGGTTGGACCTGGTTAGTGGAGAAATTCAGGACTGCTTCACGTGGGACTAAACCAACAGCTGCTGAAGTTCAATGACGTGACTGTGCCAAAACATTCCAAGTACTGCAAGAAAATAGAAAGAAATTGCTAGCATTGGTGGATATGATGAAGCATGTTGGATTTCAGCTATTAGCAGTTGAGTGAGACTTGATTGCAGTGATAGGAAGATCAAGAAAATGATTAAAATTGAAAGGAATATTTGTGGTTTTTCAGTGTGAGATGACAAATATCTATGTTGAAACACTAGTGGATTGTTTTCAGATTTTTGTTCAAATTTTCAATTGAGTGATAAAATATCCTGTTGAAGAATCTCTTAGTGGCTTCACCAAGGTCATGTTCCATTATAGAATTGAACAAATTTTTTCTGTAGCTTTCCATCCACATCATTATGAGTATCCATGATCCTGTAAAGATATCTCTACATCCTCTGCTATTCTTTGCCTTCTTTTTTATTTTTTGAACTTGCTCATAGGTTTCAGTTTTCTTTATTTCTTTGATGAATTTTCCTGATCCAAATAATTTTTCAGCATATAAAAATCCTTTTTTCAGCTCTGAAATGAAGGAAACTTCCTCTGTTTCAACTGGAATAATTGTGCTTATCATATCAATGTAAAATAAATATGTCACTATCAGAGATTTCAACTTGGCATTAACATTTTGAGGAAATTTTGCAAAGTTGAGATTTGCTTTCTTGCTCCAATAATTGTACCAAAGTTCAAGATTGTTCATTAACATCCCAAGAGATTCTTCACTCTGTCTGTGCCTTTCTTCAGCCGTGCTTTCCAAATTTTCAGAAGGATCATTGTTTTTTTCAGAATTCCGATAAAGTACTGGACAATATTTTATGAATTGCTGCTCTGTCATTACCAATTCTGCCATCTTAAGATCGCATGACATCAGATTCAGAATTCGTAATACTTCATCTTTATCTCTTTGGGAGAGCGGGGATAGAATGAAGATACTTTCATCAAATTTCAATCCTTGTGGCTGATGTTCCCTCCTTGAATCCCCTTGGATAGAAAACTGATCACTATGATTTACTTCTTCCCGTGAAATGTATGTCTTCGGGTGTAATGGGTAATCTGGAGTTAATCCTAGAATCTTTGAGGCACTCTTTGTGGCAGTTTCTTGAGATAGGCCTATGTGATTTTGGTCACATCTCTCAGAAAGAGAGCCTGGCCTGTAAGATTGGGTTGATCCTGATTTCCTTCCTTCGAGGTCGAAATTTGTGTCTCGTTGGATTTTCACTATAGTACCTAGTAGTTTGATTGATTTCCGAACTCTTCCTTCATCTCCAGGAGGGGAACTCACTGTTGAAGACTTAGATTTCGCGTAATCTGAGCTCTTCTGAAATTTGTTACTTGATTTTGAAGTCATCTCGAAAGTTGCAATGGGATCACGTCCATGATAATTACCCTTGTTTAACTTGGGCTCTATCGTTTCGCGAGAATTGTACCCCTGTTTTTGTTTTTCGAGATAGTTTGGTGGAGCCGAAAACATAAGATCGACCCGGGAACCTTTTTCGTTGAGGTGGCATTCTACTTCATTTGTGGAGGTACCAACTGCCAGATGATAAGGAGAGTTCAAACTATTTGTAGCCTCTGGCATAAGACTTCCCGCTGTTCCGTCATCAATGTCTCGGAGTGAGGGCCCAGAGAAGTTATCCACTGCGCGACAGGTGAACATTAACACAAATGAACAAGTGACAATCCGGTAAAACATTGGCTCTGAATTTTTGGAGATGATGGAAACTTTGCTGTCGGCAGTGAATGAAGGATAGTGAATTTATGTTGATGCACAAGGATGTTGGAGGGTGATCCTCTTATCTATCAGGTGCTCTGTGATTTTTCGCTTTGAGACATTCCGACTTGAGACATCATGCATGTAGCACATAAGATCAGGTATAATTCGGCTGGTACTGAGTGGATGTGTCAAGTGTTCACTTGCTAAGAATGTCTAATGAGGTTTGCTTCATCCTACGATGGTCTATCCCGTGTCGGTAAACGTCCGAAGTGGTTTCGACACGATCCTTGCTTAGCGCCGGCACTATTCAGTGACTGTCAGATTTTTAAAGAGAAAATTAACGTTAACCTGTGCATGAGCTCCCTCCTTTATACATCAACATCACCGTTCATCCTTCCACCCGACCGCATCAGGAATGTCCATCACCAGTGGATAAGACATCGGCGATTGTATTTAATTCCATCATGAATCCGCATGGCAGCGAGCCTCGGGATCCAGGTAGGAGGTTATAAATCCACAATTAAACCTTTCATGTACCGCTTTGGGCGACTCGTCGGCCTGCAGTAGAAAGCACACATGTATACACACAAGAGGTAGGACAGGGTAGGACAAGTCGGCACCACGTGAAGGCCAACTGCTCAAGACCGCAGCGCGCCAGCTGGAAGCACCAGTAGTCAAAAGACCATGCGTAGGATCGCCGCATTACATATTTCAAGATTGTTTCGTCTGGACCAGGGAAGAGGCTATTGTCATTGGAGCCGGAGACGTGGGAAACCCATCGGTAAAGTCCGCCCCCTCCGAATTCAGAGGGCATTCAAACATGTTAACCGCACCAGAGTGTTCGAGCCAATTCTTCAATGCACCTTCCAATGTAACTTACCGCGATCCATTCTGTAGGACGGGCGAACCTTCCGTATCTCGTTTGTTTGATTCATCCATGTAGCATACATCAATTTGATACACTGGGCATATCCTGACCACGCATTCAAAAGATGAGACCTCTACGTTTTGCAAAAATCGCCTCCGCTGCTCCCATTACAAGAATACCCAGGAACAAGCCTTCCAGCTCGGGTTCAGGGGTGCATGTCAGTCGAAACTTGTGTCTCTTCGGCATAGGTTCTCTACAGTCAAACCAAGGTTCGGTCATCGGTTCTTTCGACTGCACCCATCTTCCATTTCCCCATAGTTGAAGACTACATGGTCGTCTCGTGACCCTTCCAACCAATCGATATTGTGCCGATTTACAACACTATAAACTAAGATCCCGCAGGATGCGACGTTTCGATTTACTCTACCTACTGCTGTGGCTCTGTATGACTGATTTCTTACCACAACTGGCTAAGGCGGCATTCTACCCAGAATCCTCCCTAGCCCGGTTCGCAGGAGTAGGCAGCGAGAGTGGTGGCAAGCACGGTTTTCCCTCACTCCCTGAACATGAGGGCCAGTTATGGCAACCAGGATCTATTCCTCCCTACTATCAACCTTACGACAACTCTGCGGCAGTCACGGAAAATTTCTCCACATGGGAAGATCCCCCCAGCTCGTGGGGCGGCGGCCTCTGGGAAGATATCGAGAGCAGGCCGCCAAAGCAAGCACGCCTGGAGAGCTTCATAATCCCCACTCAGGATCAAGCATATTGGGTAGATAACGCGTCTCGGATCGTAGAGTCAAGTTGGGACTTGAGAGCATTGGACCCCATGGCGCTCTATCAGCATCAGCAACAGGCTGTCGACGAAACACCAACAGGGTGTTGCCAACAGCCTGTGGTCGTTGCGTCCACTCATGCCGCGCAAGAGGACCAAGTTAACGACCAGTTCGAGGAGATGCTGAGTCAGGATCGGCCAGCCATCCTTCCGACCCCCTTGGCTCAGATGGAGTCACCCAGGGTGCCATTCCAGGCCACACTGAACAAACATAGACTGCCCGAGTATACGCAACTAGCCATACGATATGTCAATAAATTCCAACCGGCGCTAAGAAGAGTCTTTGAATGTCAGTTAGACCAAGAATTCTGGACAGGTCCGGCAATGATGGGAGCCAAGTTCCCCGAGAGTGGTATGATCATTCGAGCCAGGGATCCCAGCGATTCTACGGCTTTGGTGGTCCCCTTCGGCCCGAGTCAAAAATTACACGATATCCAAAGCTTGTCGATAGCCTTGACTGAACTCCACATCTGGATCATCCACGTTCACTCAGTCCTATGGAGAAGAATTGTGGACGCAAGGAGTGTCCAAGCTGACCGTCAAAAACTGATACTCTGGCTCTTTGGAGAAATTTTTAACCCCAAGCAGGGTCTTCCGGTAGTTGGAAAAGTCTATTTGAAGAATCCACTCGAGAGAACTTTTGGAATCGTTCAGACGTGGTTGATCAAGTACCTACTCGGGCGGGAATCCGTCCCGACGACCTCCTCAGCAATCGTAGCCATCTGGTCAAAGAATACTCAGCCCGAACAATGGCGGGAAAAGATCACATTTGATCACTACTTTTGGGCACGAGCTACGATCCTACTCAAGAAAGATGCTGTAACCCTGCCACCTACTATCAATCCTGAAAATGGCAACCATATGGTCCTAAAAAGAAAGAGAATAAACAAAGACATCCCAAGAAAGCTGCAGATAGGAGACTTTGCACTCATTGACATGAGATATCCGGCTCAATACTCTAGTAACACAGCGACATTAACTTGGTTGACAGCACCCTTCCTCTGGGAACTTCCCAAGACAGTCGACGAGCTGCGGAAGCCGATCATGGAAAAATTTTCGCGGATCGCAGGGAAAGAGCTTGGGGGGACTCGACAAATCCACAAGATTTTCCCCAAGGAAGGAGTGGCGCTCACGCGTCACAAGTCCGACAGCATAGACCAGCTGCGTGTCCGGCTCTGGTCAGCCGAAAAAGAAGACCTAACAAGACTCTATTCGGCAGGAGACAAGCTCAAGAAACTACTGATCTCGGTCGAAATCTGCTCGAGCTCAATCCTTTCTCACCTTGTCAACACCTCAAAGGAGCCCATCGCAGCCCCCCCTTCCCAGACAGCCCACTTCGATTGGCTCGCTCGGAAGTTGTTCGACGTCGAGGTACTCTTCCCAATCTTCGGAAAAGTCCAGCGGAGCGTCGTTGACAGCGCAAGTGAAGACACCCCGCACTTTGATGAAGTGCAGATCTTCCTTCTCAAGATTTTCATCGATAATAAGGGCCTGTTCAAGTACCTTGAAGCCGCCCTCGCACTCTTGGGCTATTGGTTGAAAAATGAAAATCCAAGCTTTTGGAATCAACACCTTAAATCAGATGAGTTCTATTCCAAAATGATCATGTCAGCCATGGACAAAAAGTTTGTAAGATAAAATTAAATGTGTACACAAAAACTTGAAATTGCCACTCTACCCTTATAGCTTCTGAAAAACTCTTCTTGTTGCACCTGATATATTTATTAATATTTTCAATTTTATCAGGTATAAGAAAAAAGAAAGAAAACACAATAAAAAAAGGGGATGTATAAACATATCCCCCCCCCTTTTCTGCTATTTACACCCGGTTTTTTACACCTGCTTTTCTGCTTTTAAACCTAGTTTTCCCAGCGTTTGTAACTCATTTTTTGGTGACTGTAAATATGCTAAAAATCATCTGAAATTGACCACTCTTTTTGGGTACATAAAGAATCCCCAAAAGAGAAATTTTAAAGATAATGACAGGGTTGAAAAACCTTCATGGCAGCACAAAAAAAGGTAAAATCATCAATTATTTTTAGTTTTTTTTTTCAATATTGGTGGGAAAAAAATGATAAATTGGAGGTAGACTTGAGAGCTTGAGGGTAAGATGAAGGAAGAAAAAATACAAAAAAAATTTATGATTAACATTTTTTTGCTTAGAGGATTGTTGTGGACTTTGTTACATGACTTGTAGGGGTACAGATTTTCCTGTCTACCAGTACCCACTGTACAGTGGGTTGATAGAAAAACCCAAACACCCCAAACACCCTCTTCTAGGGGTCAAAATCAAGGTTTTTGAGTTTTTTTTTTTTTTTTTTTGGGGGGGGGGGGGGTTGGATGGAACAATGGGTGATTGGGACAGTGATCACAACAGCCATTTTATTGCATTACCAAAGAAAAAAAAAAAAGGAAAGACCCAACAAAGAAAATCTGCATTTTTTCCTTCCATTTTCTCAATAAGCTTTGGAAAAATAAGATAAAAGTACAACGGGTTAAGGAGCTTATAGGATGAATGATGAAAAAAAACAGTGATTTTTTGCTTGTGGGCTGATTGACAAGGGCTTTGAATCACAAGATGAATCTGAATGCACTTGTTTATGCAACTGAAATGTACTTGGCTAGCATAATGGAACAGAGGTTGATTTGGGTCTTCATTGAATCAGATGTTGAGGCAAGGTTGGAGAGAAAGTTGATGGTCAACAGAAGACCATTGACAATCAGTTGGCGTAAGGTAATGGTGTACACAAGTATCACAGGGGGGGGGGAAGCCGCCAATTCCAAACCCTTGCACGGGGTTCAGGTTTTTCTGTCAACACACTACTGTACATCTAAATTTATCATTGATATTGCCTAATTGTTTGGGAAATTGATAAAGAACCAAATTTAATTTTGTTTTGGCAATCTTGAAAAATGGACAAACTAAGGAGGATCTTGAACAGTACCATCTATAACATAATTATACAGAGAAAAAAAAAGGGAAAGCTTGACACTTAATAATGAGTTTTAGCTATCCTTTAAGTGTTCAAAACCCCATAGATAAATAAATAAAATAGGATAAAAAATCCCCCACCCCGCACCTCTTCACTATTGGAAGGAAGGGGGGGGGGGTGTACACAGGGCTCTGAGGCTAACACTGCTAAGGGCAGAAATCAAGGTTTCATGTCACCAACATGCCCACCCACACACATGTAAGTTAGCTTTTCTCTTGTTGAAATGAAAGCAAGATATATGAGGTCCCTATAAATGTCAATTTCACAAGGGGGAAGGCAACTGCAGGTTCTGCCCCCCCACACCCCCCATCTTCTATGCTTCATCTAGTTTTTTTTTTCTTCCCAAAAGAAATGCCCAATTATTATTTTGTTTTTCTCTTTCTTTTGTTTTCTTTGGTTTTTTTTTGGGTTTTGGAAGTCTTAGTACATTTCTTGGGGTGGTCGATCAGTGAAAGGCAAAGCACTGGATCCAAATTATTTGTTTGTGGAAGTTATAAACATCCACACCCTTCAAAAAAATGTTGGCATGCAAAAAAAAAAAAATGCAGATGAACACAAACCAGTGTTTTTTTTTTGGGGGGGGGGGGTATAACAACCACATACACTCTGTGTGCACATCAATAAGATTGGTGTGCAGCATGACTGCATTCCATTTTTTTTGATGTTGCACAGAAAGGATATGTACACCAAGGAAAGGTGTGCAATAATACACACAGCAAAAAATGTGTGAAGTTTGTACACATATCCATGGGCACCAAGATGTTTTGGTGCACACCCGAATGTGGTAATCTTTTTGGTTTGCAAGGAGGCTGACCCACATATCACTTGAAACATAACTTCATATCCCGCACTGGATGTGCAGTAAAATAAACCTGGATATGTAGTATTTTTATATTTTTTTTGTGCACCTCTTCACACCATTTTTTTTAAAAAAAAAACACTGAATATCCAGTTTTTTTTACTCCATATCCAGTACTGGATATGAGGTACTGTTGAAAGTGTATTAAATGTACATATTTTCAAGCAAGACTTGACAGTATAAGTTCTGGACAAAAAAAAGTCAACTGGAGATTGAAGCACGAGTATTTTCTGATGATTGCTGAAGGATATTCTATAGACATACTACATCCTACTTACTTACTACCTAGTAACTCCGTAATCCAATACTTTTCATCATCTTAATCATCATCATCTCCAACCAACCAACCAAAAAAAAAAAAGAGGAATGAAAAAAAGGAATGCAAAAGAGATTGAAGAAGAAGAAGAACAGCAGAAACAAAAGGAGGAGTTGGAGACAAAAAAAAAACGACAAAGAAAAAAAAAGGATCAAGAAATTTTAAGGAGTCTTTGTTTTTTTTTTCTTGGTCGATATATATATATATATAAGATTGCGAGCGACCAAAAAAAAAGAGTGTGTGAACGAGGGGAAGAAGGAAAGAAGGAGCGAGAGAAAGAGAGGGGGGGAAAAGGAGGCCGACACGGGACACGAGAACAAGCCGGACGACTGACGACCGGTTTCCACTCCAAAGAGAGAGAGAGAAGAGAGAGTCCCGGGTTTCTCAACCAGCCTAAAACCGAATCCATGTGATGTTGTGGGGAAGCAAGGTGAGGGATCGGGAGAGAGATCGGAGTTGTGACTCGGGGTTTTTTTTTCTTGATGAGTCTCCTGGATGGGACCGGGAGGTGATGAAGAACGCCGAAGAAGCATTGTAGCGGCCAATTCATTACACGATCCGATTTTTTTTTTCTCTTTCTCTCTCTCTCATCCACCCATGTTCGTTTGGAATCTCATCATGCTTGGCCCAACTGAGCCGACAAAGAGAGATGAGGGCCGCTTTCAAGAATGATCGAGAGTGACAGATCCAATTTTTTTTCCCCGCATCTGATTCAAAAGGTTGGAACAGAAGAAGAAGAAGAAGAAGGGACCAACTCGACGGTCCCTTCAACTGACAACGTTCTTCGACGACGATGAGCCATTCACGCTTCGATGTGCTCGATGAGATGGGGTCTGCTCCGACCGACGAGCGAAGGAGTGAACAAGGCTGATGATCTGTTTCTCGTCAGCGGCGAGGATTCCTCTAGCCCGGGCTTTCAGCCGAAGGTTACGGTCGAGGGTGAGCAGGACGACTTTCTCCGGCTCGGTCTTCTCCTCGTCGGACTTGTCATCTTCTGTCCCGCCTGAGGCCGCGTTAGACAATGAAGTCGGTAGGCGGGTCGAGAAGTGCTCCAATTGCCAGGTCGTGGCCCGCAAGACTACATCGTCCAAGTTCCGCGCCGCATTGGTGGTGATAAACCCGTTATTGACCTTATTAGTTCCTCCTGCTGAACTATCATTACTTGTTGCGCCAAAGTCTTGAAAGTTGATCTGCTCGTTCCTGATCGACAGGTCTCTTAAATAGTTGCCCTTACTAGTTTGAATCTTCAAGACCTTCGAATAACTCTTAATCGACTGTTCTAGGTATTTGATGGCTTCGAGTGCTTCCTCGCCTAACCGTCTGGACTGAGACTCAGGATCACTTGCACGTTTCTTTAGCCCATCCAATTCAGTGATGACTACTAAAGGGACGATGATCGTAAACTGTTCAGATTCCAAGAGATCTTTGACAATCGTCAGCATCCCGATCAGGATGTTGGTATCGAAGACTAGCGTCGTATAGCCTGGCAAAACGTTGATCTTCGATTGGTTCTTGTTTCGAGCATGCGCCTTCGACTGGATTGATGGGAGATTTTTCTGGAACCCAGGGTGCGATTTCCGCCCTCCAGATTTGGGGCCTACTACTGGAGCCGAAGCACTCTTTGTCTGATTTAAAATCATCTTCAACTCTCGTCGTCGTGCCTGCATGGATCAAAAGAGGTGACAAATGGTCAGAAGATGGAGTCAAGTCCTTGCAATGTTTGTCAGATCATACCTTCAATGATTTCACCAGTTCACTGTCATCAGGATCGTCATCATCTTCATCGTCATCGTCATCGTCAATTTGGCCATCGATTTCTTCATCGAACTGAGCAATGTGATCATACGCCTTCATATTTTTAGATTTGGCCAACTGTCGTTCGTCCTCCTCACGCCGAGCCTCATTCTCCCATCGATCGATTTTATGTTTCAAAGATTGGGCGATCGTGAAAGTATGCCGACCATTGTTTTCGTACTTGATTCCGGGGACTGAACTGGCGATCCAGCCAGCAACGATCGCGATCCGTTTCCAGCGATCGACCGATGATAGAGGATAAGTATTAGTGGGTTGGCTGGGCTCTTCACCTTCCCAATCAATTCTCCCCAACCGTGAGTGAACCTGACCACCCCCTTCGAGCTCTCCGTTCAAAGATACTAAAGCGTCCAGTTCAGAATCTATGTTTAGATGACTGGGGATGAACGTCGGTCTCCCCGAATCTTCGATAGAGTCTCCGGGGCCGGCACCATTACTCGCATTGGTCTTCTGCTGTTTCCAATAGCCTCTCCCAAACAGTCCTTTGCCAGCCCAATCCATCCCCCTCAAACACCAGTCCTCCAGCAACGGGGAGCCATTCAATCTAAAGTGAGATGAACCAGAACTTTCTTGGGCTGGAAGCGTGGATGGAGGTCGAACTTGGACTGAGGATGGGATTTGATTAAAATAGATCACTAAATTTTCCCATGGGATGAATCTCTCCAATTTCTTCATTGCCCGTCTATTTTGACACAAGGATCCGAGGAAGGTCAAGATGATCGCCAGATAGGGACACACTTCTTGGGAGGGATCCTGTTGCAAGACTTCCTTGAAGATTTCGAATGCGAATTTGGCTGCCCAGACGAAGACGATCGGATCGTTCTCCTCATCAGCATCATTGACTTCAGTTCTCTTGATCATGATCGCTTTGTGTTCTTCATCAAACTGCTCAGCGTTCGATTGGTCCGCGCCATTGCCTATCGATGGCATCCCTTCTTCCGAGCTGATTGAACGAGTAGGTTTGCGCGGCTCGACAGGCGGATTGACGCCGGCTGAATGGCTCAACAAGATAGCCTGTGGTGCAATAGTTGCTGATTTCGCATTTGCGCCCGCACCTCTTGATGTGGCTTTGTGATTGCTATTTCGGGAATGAAAATCATGAGACTTTTGGGTGCTTTGTTGGGTTGCCCGAATAACTCCATCTTCGAGACCATACTGTAAAATAGCACATATGTTGACAGTTGCCATCATCACCCAACTAGCATTTGACATCGTAGACTGCGCGACGATATCTCCCGATGCTCGACCAAATCCTCGACGACCATGCTTGTCGGATAAAAATCGATCCTCTGTGAGTTTTTCCATAAAACGAGCCAACTCTGAGTCGAAATCGTCCAATTGGATCTTCGTAAACAGCATCCCATGCAAGTGAACAAAGAGGTCATTGATCGACACTTCGGGCCTGCTTCTTCTGGCTTGGTGTTCTTGCTCAAAGAACGGTAGGATTGATTCTCTGGCTGGTAGATAAGGATGGGCGGCTGTCAAGCTGTGTATAAAATGGTGGAATATTTATACATCAACGGTTCGAACAAACCCAAACAAGTGCCGTTGAAAGGGAGGTATCAGTCTCTCACCTTTTACAGTAGTGATACAAGGTCCTTAATTCGTCACCCTTGCTCAACAAAGCCAAATGATGATGTAATCTCCCGGTAGCAGGATTGTCGGCTAGACCTTTAGCATACCAGTCTTTTGCAGTCGCCCTCCAGATCTCTTGTTCTTCACAATCCCAATCACCCAAGGCGGCCAGTCCTATACTACCTCCTGGTCGTGGAGGGACAATCTTAGGGCTTATTGGTGCAACTTGACTGCGACTTTCTTGCGATGATATATCAAGCCGGCTAGATTGGCTTCCCGACAAGGACGGTTCGGACTCACCAGCCCCTCTGGATCGGTGCGGCCGTCGAGCCCTGGGTCTGACTCTCTTTCGTCCACTTTCGCTGTCATGCTCATCATTGACATCCTGATCAGAGACTCGGGTAGTGACTTCTGATTTTCTGGAACTCGACTGAGCCTCGTTCTGTCCAGCAAACTTACTCGTCAAGCCAGCAACCGCCATCCGATAGCGAGCCAGGTCACCCAACTGCTCAACCCATACACTCTTGAATGGTAGAAGTCTTTGTTCTTCGAGTAAGGCCGTATAGAATCCATAGGCAAAATAGATAAAGTCAGTCATATGCTCCAGTAAAAGCTGACTAGATTGTTCGTTGAAGGCTGAGTTTACTGAAAGAGGTAGCGCATGTCTGAGTCGCTCAAGTAGTTGATGAAATCCGATTTGCCAGAGTCGACTAGGGGTGTTGTATTT